CAGCCCCGCGAGCCCGGCTCGTGTCGCTTGGGGACTCTTCTCCCTTGGAATGTGGGGATCCTTAGTGGCCCCGGCCACTTTTGTCCGCTGCAGGCGGACGAGTCGCGACGTTTGTAAATTGCAAACAGACCCACGTGGTTCTGCAGCAGTCCCGGCCATGCTTGGTGCTGGTGGCTTCCCCCGCGCTTCCTCTTCCCCCCTCCCGCGGCGGCTTCCTTCCCCTCCCTGTTTCCTCGCGCTCTCTGGGCGCCCCTCATAAGGGGTATTGGGGAATCGGGGCGCGCGTGGGGCCGCGGTGAGGGTGGCTCAATGGAGGCATGCCGCGGCTCCTGGCGCAGTGGGGGGGGTGCTGGGAGCCGGGTGGTGCGCGTATTTGCACAGAGCCGAGCTGCAGTGGGGTTTTGGGGTGCTCGCGTAAGGCTGCGGAGGTGGGGGGCCCATGCAGCCGGCCCGGGCGCCGCGGTTCCTGGCACGTTGGTTGCAGCTTGCTAGCTCGATCGCTTGCCCGCGCCCGGGCGCTGTTTACTAGCGAGGCCTGGACGTGACTCTGCAGCCCTCTTGGAGTAGGCGGACCTCCGTGCGCGTGGCCTCGCGGGAGCTGTAGTTCCCCGCGCCTGGCTGGTGCGGCATTGTGGGACTTGTAGGCGCTCCGGAGCCACGCTTTCCGCACACAAAGCTCGGCCCCCGCGGACAGGGTGGGCAAGGCAGGCCAGGTGGGAAGGCCTTTTGGGGAGGGGGCACCTGAGGACGCCTCTAGCATGACCAGGCCGCTCTCCAAAGCACGTGGGTCTCCTCTGCAAACTTTCCCATCCCACGCCCCTTCTCCCAACCACGAACTAAAAGCGTCGGGGCTCTCAGCCGGGTGGGTGCCCCGGATCGGCAACCCTTCCCAGAAACCGCTTTGTAGGCTTGACCCTAGGTTGCCCCAGATCCACTCGTTACCAAAGGTAACACCAGCAGCCGAATCACCCTGGACTTTTGTTAAAATGCACAAGCCTGGAACTCCGTTTGCAGGGCCTGGGTATCTGCCTGTTGAACCAGTTGGGGGTGCATTCTCCAGCATGCTTAAGATTGGGACCTGCGGTCCTTTTCCTGCCCCGCTGCTCCAGGAGCGAAATGGCTCCCCAGGGCTGGGACCACGTGCTCCCGTGCTTTAGGTAGGCAGGGCAGGGATTGAGGGAGGAGGAGCCCGCGCCTGTGGACAGGGACTAGGGAGTCAGGCTGCTGCACCCACCCCAAGGGTCACACCTTTACTCTCAATTCCTACAGCCAATACCTAGGAATGGATAGGCTAGTTGATGGGTCTGGCAACTGGCGCGGCCATCCTTAGACAAGCCCCCCTCCCCACCCCAGGGTCCAGTAGTAATAAGTAAAAAACAACAAACTCTTGAGCTTTTTATATGTTTTGGGGAGCCACTTTGCAAGGATTTTCTCACAAAGTCAACATTAATCTTCCTAGGGATTATTATTATTGTATATATATTTTTTGCGGTACTGGGGCTTGAACTCAGGGCCTACACCTTGAGCCACTCCACCAGCCATTTTTGAGATGGGATTTTTCAAGATAGGGTCTTGGACTATTTGCCCAGGCTGGCTTCTAACCTCGATCCTCCTGATTTCTGCCTCCTGAGAAGCTAGAATTACAGGCGTGAGCCACCGGTGCCCGATTTGGGACTGGAACTTTTAATGTCAGGGTCCTGCTTTTCTGCTGGCTACTCCTAGTTGACCTGGACAGTGAGTGGGGAGGTGGACAGGAGCTGCTTCATACACTGGAGTGGACATTACTCTGACCCTGAGCAGGCTTGGGGGCATTGGGACTCTAGCTGCCTTTCCTGCACCTTGGTTGAGACCTCTCAGGACCTCCTAGGACTGTTGGCTTCACTTTGTCCCCGTACCAAGTTCCAGGAGCTCCTCCTCTGAGCTCTTCCTCCAGTCCTTCTCTTAGAGGGACTGGACCTTAGCAGGCCAATGCTTAAAGAGGCAGGACCTTAAGTGCACAAGTCCTCAGCCCACCCTGTTTTGACTGTTGTTAGCTGCACACTGGGCATGGAGTCTGGATCTCTGCGTCTGTTCGTTTTCAGCTGGAGTTGCAGGGTGAGGTAGGAGGGAACCTTATGGCTGGATGGACTCATTTCTCGGGGTTGTCTCAGGCTGGTGGACTTTGCTCCGTCCCTCAGTGTCTAGTTGGTCTCTTCCTGCCTCTCTGTCTCCCAGGCCAACCACAAGGGACGGTGTCACACCTTGAGGTTTTATACCTATTGGCTAATGGTTCTCAGACTGTATAATGGAACATGTGTGATAATTGGGTGTGGGAAGTGCCCAGACACTATTAAAATGACATTCAGACTGAAGAGTGGGTGTGTGGTGGTCCCTATCCTTGTAGGATAAGCTCTTAAAAGTTTCTTTAAGAAGTTAGGGAAGATTAGGGTTTGGTTGGTGTGTTTGTTGGGTCCCTGAATTTACAAAGCATCAGCTTGATGCCAGGACTGAGGATACAGCAAGGGACAAGACCTGATCCTTGTCTTAGCAGCTCACCTACTGATGGTGCTGGAGGTCCTGTTAGCCCTGAAAGAGCTGTAGGTTGTCCTGGATGCCTGGGTAGAAACCCTGGAAACAGGACATCCTGTTACATTCTCTCAGTGCCTTTTGATCTCTTTTAAGCTTTATCACAACCCTGTGAAGTGAGGCAGCATTTCCACTTTTTTCAGGTGGGGGAAACTGATGCACATTGGCTAGGCTTGGGGTTCTGCAACAAGCAAGTGTCAAGGCTGGAGTTGCCATCTGAATCCAGTGCAGGGTTCCCTCTGATGGGTTGGAAGGGCTTCAGGGAGGAGGAGGGCAGGATGGCTCCGATAGGAACGGCTAGGAGATCCTGTCATAGTGTGTCCTGGGACTGAGGAGAGGGCAGCAAGCAGGGGGACCACGGTCTGTTTGGAAAGGGATGTATGGGTAGAGGCAGTGGAACCCACCACTGAGAGAGGGATCAATACTTTGGGCACCGTTGGTGGGAATTCAGGGACCCTTCATTCCTTTTTAGAAGAAATGAGAGAAATCCTGTGTGAACTTCTCACGTTTGTGTGGATGTTAAGATGCTCAGTGATGTCAAGGGAGTTCAAGATGGTGTGAAATGAGAGTTCTTAGTAGCTATTGGAGACTGAAACTGGGGCAGGTAGGTGGGGGGTACCCCTGAGCATCTGGTTGGGATGTCAGCATTCTTCCCAAGAGATTTTTGGGTATTCTGGTGGGAGGAATGGCACCTTTGCTCTCCGCATTTAAGGCTGATGGCCAAATTTGTTCTGGGGCCATTGGCTGTCCAGTGCCCTACCTTCTTACTCCTAAGGTTGAGCAGCCCCTGGCCAAACCACAATAGATTGGAGGGAGACAGACGGACAAGCCGTAGCTTCCATGGATCAGTGGTCTCTGCTAGTTTCACTACTTACCTGGGGGAGTCTGATGTTGGGAGGGAAGGGATAGTGGGACTTTTACCACACTGTGAATTTGTTTACTTATGCAAAACCCAGAAAGAACTGTAAGGAACTTTAAGGCATTTGTAGAAAAATCCACATTTTCTAGTTCAGCATTACCTGGAAATTAACCCTCCTTAATCAATAGAAACCTTGGGTTGGTCAGCAATCAGAACCCCTGGTTGGCCTGAATTCCACCAGTCAGAATCCCTGGTTAGCATGTAGTCTGTTAAACAACTATCACCTGGTACTTTCTGGGCAGTTTAGGTGAGTTATAATTGAGGGACTTGGTGGCAAATCCAAGTCCCGGTGAGGAGCTGTCGACTCACAGCCAAGTCTCTGTTCAGAGTTAAGTCCAGCAGCTGGTTCCTGAGCTGCGAGGCTGTGCTAATGGTTTTGGAGGCAAAGGGGTTGGACGGAACACTTGAAGGAATCAGGCTGGTGGCTTTCTGATGCAAAGGAGGGGCCTAGGCCAGAGCCAGGACCTCTTCTGGGAATTTGGGGCTGGGGTTTCCAGGCTGGGGCCCTGAAGTCTCCTTTGGGTTCCCCAGTTAGTGGGCATCCTGGAGGAAGGGAGAGACTGAGGGCCAGCTCTTTGAGCTGAGGTTTTGAGGGCTGAGTTGGTGGGACTCCCCCTGGGGGCTGTAGGAGGTTGCATTCACCTGTCTGTCTCCCTGCTCTGCCTGGTGTGACCTTGGGCAAGTCCCTCCCTTCATGAGTTTGTTCTTGCAGCAACACCCCTTCATTGAGTAGTAGCTGGCTGTGTGTGAGCTGTCAGTAGGCTGCACTGTCAGCTGTGCCCTGGTCAGGCTGTCTGCACATCGCAGGACCCAGTGCTGCCCATTGCTGCAGCCACTCCACTGGGCTTCAGGGAGGGTCAGAGAAAAACGTGCACAAGTCTGTGAATGTTAAGAAGAGTCAATACAATGACAGCATTCCCGCAGCATATGGTCCTCTTCTACAAGGGTGACAGTCACCTGTTGATCTGTGGGATGGTGCAACACCTTCTCTTGGGCCCCAGTGCCACTGGTTACAGTAGTTGGTCCCTTCCTGACTCTGTATTCTCTTTACCTGGGAATCATCAAGCCACCTGACTCAGGAAAAATATGACAGTTTAGTGAGGAAATTCTAGCAAAGTGAGTTATTAGCATATTATATAAAGAATTCACGATTTTTTTTTTTTTTTCCGAAATAGGGTTTCAAGAACTCTGCCTAGGCTGGCTTTGAACCACAATCCTCCTGATTGCTGCCTGATTACAGGAGTAAGCCATCAGTGCCCAGCCAAGATATTATTACTTTTTGGCAGTACTGGAGTTTGAACTCAGGGCTTCGTGCTTGCTATGCAGGCACTCTACCACTTGAGCCATGCCTCCAGCCCTGTCTTGTGAACTTTGGGAGGCCAACCAGGATCCTCCCAATCTTTGCCTCCTGAGTAGCTAGGATTTTAACCTTAATTCTGTTGCTAGGTCTAACTCTCAGGTGGTCTAAGGGTATACCCAGGGGTCTTTTTTTTTTTTTTTCTGTGGTTCTTGGGATTGAAACCAGGATTTCATACATGCTATGAAAGTGCTCTGGCACTTGAGCTACGTCCCCTGCCAGGGCCTTTTTGAGTGTGTGGGGTGTCTTCCCACATCTCTCTTTAGGGGAGAAAAATGTGGCTGCCTGTAACATCTTTCCCTGTCTCTTCTTGCCCTCAAAGACCCCTGATGTTAATCCCCTCATTGCAGAGCAGTGCTGGCCTGCTGGGCTCTCTGAGGAGGTGTGGTCTGAGGGCCAGGCTCCAGGGACAGATGGCATCAGCTCTTGCCCTGCTCTGCCTCCTCTCCTTCCAGATACCTCATCACCCATTGTCAGGGCAGGGAGGTGCCCTGGCCTGAAGTGGGGGACATCCGGCTGTTTGACCTTAAAACCATGTCTGAGCCCTAAGTCAAAGGATCTCAAGCCTTGTCTGTAAAGTAGGGGACCTGGCCCTCCCAGTGCTGATATTCCTAGACCCGTGAGGGACCTGCATCCTGGTGGAGGGGCCAGGCAGGCGCTGGGTGAGTTGGGGTCCTGGGCCTTTGGGCCCTGATGGAGGAGGGGCCGCTTTCCTCCAGACTTTCAGCTGCAACCAACAGGGAACTCATTCCTAGCCATCCACCCTCTTTATTGGGAGAGAAAGCCCAGGGGGCCCAGGAAGGGGCAGGGATGCGTACAGGGTCCCTCCGGGATCTGAGGCGGGACTGATGGGGTAGGCTGGGTGGGACAGGACAGGCCTTAGCTGCTTCTAGCTGTTGTAGATGTGTTGCCCTCCTGTGCTGCTGTGTAGTTTCTTTCTCCTGCGGATAGGGAAAGGGGCAAATCACATCAAGGGAGTCACACCAGGTACTTCCTTGACCCCAGACTCCCTGTCAATGAGATGAGAGCTGCCCAGAGGCCTTTTCCTATTCCTCCAGACCCAGGGGCATGAGCTGCCTTGGTTGGAGCCTGGAACAGGTCACCCTGGGAGGGCCCCTCAGGAAGAGGCCAGGCTGTGGCTTTGGGTGGGGCTGGTGGCCTCTGCTGGGAGTCAGCATCTGGAAGCCATCAGGCCAGGGTGGGGGGAGTTGCAGGGGAGGGCTGGGAAGGAGGGGCATGCCTCCATGCGGCCACACACAGGCCCACCCCTCGGGAACAGTGGCTTTGGGCCCACAGGCTCTGCTGCTGTCTTGCTTCCCGCCAGTGCTTCTCGGCTGACAGCCTCGCCCTGTTCCCTGGCTGTCTTCTCCCTCACCCCACTGGCTGCTGCTCCTGCAACATGCAGTAACACTGCCTATACCGTGTTTGGAGCATCACTTCTTTGGCACAGTGAGGGTCTGCCTTTTGGAGTGGGTGGGCTTTGGGAGAATTGTCCCCAGGGATTGTTGGTCTGGTGTCCCCTCTGCAGAGTGAGTGAGTGGTACTTGTCTTCAGTTCAATCTTAGCCCAGGGGAGAGTGGACCTACTGGGGGCAGGTTGGGGCTTGTGGCCGGAGACATAGCTGTGGCAATGGTCAGGGTGAATGGATGGATAGTTTCTCAGAACTGGAATGGCAAAGCCTGAGACTCTGAAGGAGGTGGTCCAGGTGCACAGCGAGGAGCTCAGAAGTGTCCTAGGAGCAGGTGTCTTGATTAGTGCCAAGAGTCCACCTGCATCAGAATCACAGAGATTAGCCATGGGGGTTTCTGGGTCTCACCAAGCCCTGCTAGGCAGGTGCTGGGGCCTGTGCTGCCATAAGCCTCTGGGTGTTTTGATTCCCATGCACCACTAGAAAACTGTGTTCTGGAGGAACACAGTTCTTCCAGGAAGGAAGGCAGCAGGTTGTGTAGGCAGCCGGCTGATTCTGTGGGCATCCAGGGGAGCATTCCCACCACCCTGGGAGGGTGCTGTGCTAGGGAGCAAGCATCAGGGCCAGCGGGCCTGTCTGCAGGAGGGAAGGGATGCAGGTTACCCCGGGAGAGGAATGATGGAGACGGGCCCACTGGGGGCAGGGTTCGGAGGATGCCTCGTCTGAGCCTGTCCGTGTCCCTTCCTGGCAGCCTTGCCAACATTCCACTAACTCCTGAGACCCAGCGAGACCAGGAGCGGAGGATTCGAAGGGAGATCGCCAACAGCAACGAGCGGAGGCGTATGCAGAGCATCAACGCAGGCTTTCAGTCTCTCAAGACCCTCATTCCTCACACGGATGGGGAGAAACTCAGCAAGGTGGGCGGGGCAGGGGGACCTCCTGGAGGAGGTGGCAGGCTCTGGTAGGAGAAGAAAGGAGCCTGACACGTGGCCCCTCCTGTCCTTAGGCAGCCATTCTCCAGCAGACAGCTGAATACATCTTCTCCTTGGAGCAGGAGAAGACCAGGCTTCTGCAGCAGAACACACAGCTCAAGCGTTTCATCCAGGTATGGAGAAGGGCTGCTCCCCTCAGTGACTAACCTCCCGGGTCCTTACCCGCGCGCACCAGCCACAGGCCTGGGCTGAAGATGAGGCAGCTGGTCCCATCTTGCCTCCTGACTCACCTTCAGCATTTGCCTTCCTGCTGGCCTCAGTTTCCCCATCTGTCAAATGCGGTGGAGTATGCTCTGGAAAGCAAGCCGTTCTGCTTCTCTTCCGGGCATGTGGCTCATTTGGGAGAACTGCAGAATGGGCTCCCAAGCGCTGGTCTGCCTGTGTTGGCAGCTTTGGGAGACTGCAATGGAGCCCCACAACCTCCATGGTGGTGGTGATATGGAGGGGGGGTGTCTCAGCACACTTACGACCCTTTGGGGTCTCCAGGAGCTGAGCGGTTCATCCCCCAAGCGGCGGCGGGCAGAGGACAAGGACGAGGGCATTGGCTCGCCTGATATCTGGGAGGACGAGAAAGCCGAGGACCTGCGGCGGGAGATGATCGAGCTGCGGCAGCAGCTGGACAAGGAGCGCTCCGTGCGCATGATGCTGGAGGAGCAGGTGAGGTGGCGCCCTCTGCTGGCCAGGTGCCGTGCCGCTTGCGTGGAGGGTGCGAGCTGTGGTCCCTTGAGTTTTCTGTCCATCCATGCCTTCCTTCCGCAGGTAATTTACATTTACATAAATGCCTGCTCTGTGCCAGGCCTAGGAACAGGGAGTAAGCCAGTCAGGGTTCTGCCCTCCAAAGTCAAAGGACCTCACTTGTAAAAAATGCAATGAAAGGCTAGGTGGTGGTGCTCACCTGTAATCTCAGCTCTTGGGAGGCTGAGGCACATAGAGAATTCTAGATCTGCCTAGACTATCTACAAAGACCCTGTCTCAAAAACAAAAAAAGTCAAAGGGGGGAAAATGCAATGGAAGGCCAGGAGTGTAGCTCAGTGGTGGAGCAGGCACTTAGCATGTAAGGCCCCTGGGGTTCTATCTCCAGTGTGCACAAAGAGGGGGAAAAAAGTGGTTGAGCACCAGTGGCTCTCACCTGTAATTCTAGGTACTAGGGAAGCAGAGATCAGGAGGATTGCAGGTCAAAGCCATCAGGGGCAAATAGACAGACCCTGTCTGGAAAATACTCAACACAAAAAAGGGCTGACGGAGTGGCTCAAGTGTTAGAGCACCTGCCTAGCAAGTGTGAGGCCCTGAGTTCAAGCCCCCCAGTACTGCCAAAAAAAACCACACACACACACACACACACACACACACACACAAACCCCCAAACAACTGAGATAAGGCCATGCGGAAGCTTGGACACAGAAGGGGTTTGACCTGGTTCCCCAAGTAGCACCCCACTGCTTCTACAAGGAAACAAGCTAACCAAGGCAAATAAAGGAGAAGGATGTCTCTGGCAGAGTAACAGTGTAGACAAAGAAAGACCTGAGGAGGGGGAACGGAGGCCTGTGGGTTGGGTAAGGATTTTGGTCTCTGCCCTGAGGAGGGCACTCCACTCTAGGGTTCTAGGTTTTGATCTGTTCAGAGCTCAGATTTGATGTTTTAGTTAATGGCCAGCTTCCGGCCTTCCTTGAGTGCTTTGCTGCTCCACCTGCAGGTGCGCTCGCTTGAGGCCCATATGTACCCGGAAAAGCTCAAGGTGATCGCACAGCAGGTGCAGCTGCAGCAGCAGCAGGAGCAGGTGCGGCTGCTGCACCAGGAGAAGCTGGAGCGGGAACAGCAGCACCTGCGGACCCAGGTGAGCAGGAGGCTCCAGGAGGGGCCACCACAACTGCATAGTGGTGCCTTAAAAGGCAGATGAGGCTAAACCATCACGATCAGGCATTTCCTGAGCTGTTCCATTAGTACATTGAATCCTCACAACTGCCTATTCAAGCCTGAGATGTGAATCCTGGCTATCTCAAGCCAGAGGGCACACTTTTTTTCGTAGTGCCAGGTATGGAACCCACAGCCGGGTGGGTGCTAGGCAAGCGCTCTGTCACTGACTGACACTTCTAGCTCCAGAGTCTGTAGTTTTGAGCAGCACCGTATTTGACGTTGAACTGCTGCTTGGCTCGGGAGGTGAAGGGGCTGTGGATCTGGGATGGCCAGACGCCAATCTCTAGGCTGCCATTTCTTCTTTTCTTAATATTATATGGGTGAGGTAAGGATGCAAACTGGCTGCTTCCTGTCTGTCATGTTTTTGCCACTATAACAGAGACCTGAGATAATCAGCTTAGAAGGAGAAAAAGGTTATTTTGGCCCGCAATTTTGGAGTTTCAGTCCAGTACTGTTGGGCCTGTGGTGAGGCAGCTTGCCATGGTGGGAGCATATGACCGTTCACCTTGTGGGTGGGAAACCAGAGGAAGAAAAAGTGGCCAGGGTCCCACTACTCCCTTCTAGGGCATGCCCTCCAATGACTTAAAGACCTCCCCCTGGGCCCTGCTACTTCAAGTTTCTACCATCTTCTGGTAGTGTCAAGTTGGGGGCCAAGCCATTAGCACATGGACCTTTTTGGGGGACACTTAAGATTCAAACTATAGCAGACACCCCAGACACTGGGCTGGAGGATCGTGTGGGAAAAAGAGTGAGGACTTCTGTCTTGCAGCTCCTGCCCCCTCCGGCCCCTACCCACCACCCCACGGTGATTGTGCCTGCACCAGCCCCTCCTCCCTCGCACCACATCAACGTCGTCACCATGGGTCCCTCCTCTGTCATCAACTCCGTTTCCACATCCCGGCAAAATCTGGACACCATTGTGCAGGTACCTGGGCTTGGGGAAAGGTGACTTGTTGGAGTGGACATCTGGGGACAGACTTTTTAGGAGAGACGGAAATGAGGGATGAAGGAGGAGCAGGTAAAGGTTTGGATGCCTGGGTGGGTCTCCCTCCTGTGTCTTTGGGGACAGAGTTCCAGAAGAGGAGCTAAGTCCTTTCTCTTAACGTGGGGGTTGTGTTGAGAGGCACCTTTGTTCCTGGAGCTCAGGAACAGAGTTCTGTGGCTCACAGTTACAGAGTAACTGTGTCCAACTTTTGGATGAGAACTTTCTCTCACTTTCACTTCCCAAAACTTGTATTTTTTTTTTTTCCTTTCTTTCTCTCTTTTTTTTGGTGGGTGCTGGCGTATGAACCCAGGATCTCACACTTGCTAGGCAGGCGCACTACCACTTGAGCCACTCTGCTAGCCAGACTTTTTTTTTTTTTTTTTTTTTTTTAACACTACTGGGGGTTGAACTCGGCTCACATTTGCTAGGCAGGCGCTCTACTGCTTGAGCCACTGTGCCAGCCCAACTTCCCAGAACTTGGGGTGGGGGTGGAGGCAGGAGTGACTGTGGATGGCACTTATTTCTCCTATCAGCACTGTGGGCAACATTAAAAATGTATAGGAGTTGGTGGTGCACACTTGTAATCCTAGCTACTTGGTGGAGGCAAGGAGGGTCATGAGTTCAAGGATAGCTCAGGAAAAGCCAGTGAGACCCTATCTTAAAAGCAAAACATAAGCTGGTCACCAGTGGCTCACACTTATAATCCTAGCTTACTTAGGAGGCAGAGATCAGGAGGATCATGGTTCAAAGCCAGCCCAGGCAAATAGTTCGAGAGACCCTCTGTCAAAAGAAACCCATCACAAAAATAGGCTGGTGGAGTAGCTCAAGGTGTAGGCCCTGAATTCACACCCCAGTACCACGAACAAAACGAAACAAAACAAAACAAACATAAAAGTGTTGTGGATATGGCCGAAGTGGTAGAGCATTTGCTTAGCATGCCTGAGGCCTGGATTTAAACCGTAGTGCCACAAAAATAAATAAATAATGAAATAAACAAACAAAAAGCCAAAACAGAAAAAAACCAAAAACAACTCCATCAACTTGCAGAACTGTCATTGCATATAAACCTAGCAAACAGAAAATGCAATTAATAATAAGGTCAGGCCCTTAATAGCTAGGCAGACTTTAAAAATCTAAACATGAGAGATTGTGTCAGTTCTAGGCAGCACTGGGTCTTCCTGGAAGGGGTCTTTTACTCAGGAGAAGGGTTTTGTAAAGTTTGCTACCCTCAGACTCTGGCAGACCCCTCCCTGCTCTGCCAGGTTTATTTCTGGACAGTCTCAGGGTATGTGCTTTGGGGGGAGATAGTGGGTGCTGAGGCTCCCCACTGTCCTCCGGGTGGCCGGGTGTCCCAGCCAAGCCCCCTCATTGGCCTGTCCCTTTCCAGGCGATCCAGCACATCGAGGGCACCCAGGACAAGCAGGAGATGGAGGAGGAGCAGCGGCGAGCTGTCATCGTGAAGCCGGTCCGCAGCTGCCCGGAGGTCCACACCTCTGACACCGCCTCAGACTCTGAGGCCTCAGACAGCGATGCCATGGACCAGAGCCGGGAGGAGCCGTTGGGGGATGGGGAGCTTCCCTGACCACCCCCCCAGCCCTCCTCTCCCTTCTGGGGGCTGGAGGGGGCCGGGGCAGCAACAGGGAGAAATGTGGGTGAATGAGTGAGAAATTTTTACAAAATTACGATGTCATTTGGGTCTCTTTTATGACCTCTTTTTCAATACTGTAAATCGACCTTTGAACGAAGCCACTCAAGCCAAGGTTCCGGAGCTGGGGTGGTGCAGAGCGCGTGGGAGCACCGGGACCCCAGGGCTGGGCCTCGGCCCTGGGGGCTGGAGAAGCTGACACTGAGGTGCCTGGCCTCTCTCTGCCAAAAAGCATTTTTTTCATTTTTTTAAGAACAGGGAAAATCAAACAAAACCCCAAGGCATTTCCTCCCTCCCCAGAGCCAGCTCTGCGACTCAGCCCTTAATCCCGCTTCCCTCCTCTGTTTGGTTTTCTTCTTTCTCCTTTAAGCACTTACATGGGTTGGGGGTCAGGCTGGGTTGGGGCTTTCTGGGGGCCCGGGGGTCTTTGTTGCTTCTCGGTTGGGGTTTGCTGCTGCCCTTCTTCCCTCCCCCTCCCCATCTCAGCACCGGGACCCACCACTCTCCACCTCCCCACCGTTCCCTCCAGGGTTCCCATCTTTGACCCCAAAAAATGTCTTTGTCTCTCTCTTTTTGTTTGTTGTTGGTTTTATTTTGTTTTTGGTTTCTGTATTTTTTTTTTAAAACAATTTTGGTCTTTGTGTCCAAGGAGAAGCTATTATATTTTGTTAAGAAAGTGGGGAGCAAAAAACCAAGAGGCCACTGTGCCTTTGTAAAGAAACAAAATAAAAGTTTGTACTTTGTTTTTTAGATTTTTGTGTCTCTTGTGAGTGCACTGCCCTGCATACCTTGTCTAGACTAGGGGGTGATTTTTGGACCCCAAATCTGGAGGGGACAGCATGAGCTCCCTTGATTTTAGGGTGTGCTGTTGAGATGAGAAATTGGGGCCCCAGATTCCCTGGGATTACTCTTAAGTATTGGGTGGCCCCCAGAGATAGTGCCATGGGTGGAGGGAGTGGTTCTCAACTCTTACATATATTTTCCAGTGCTGGGGTTTGAACTCGGGGACTTGTACTTCCTGGGTTGGAGCCACCAACACAATCAAGGTAGGAAGTAGTTCCCTCATTCTTAGAGCTCCCCCCAGACTCCTCTGTGGTCATTCCAGGCCAAGGCAACCCCTGATCTATTCTCTGCTGCTCTAGTTTTCCCTTTTTCAAAATGTCAAATGAAGGAAATCCTTCCGTAGGTAGCTTTTTGAGTCTGGTTTCCAGGTAGCATTATGTCTAATTTTTTTTTTTTTTGGTGGTAGTAGAATTTGAACTCAGGGCTTCGCGCTTGCTAGGCAGGCACTGCATCTTATGAGCCACGCCTCCAGCACTAACTTTCTTTTTTGGGATTGCGTTCACCTAAATTTACATCAGTTAAATGCTCCTCTGAGGTCGCAGAGCGACCCCTTTCGGCCAGGTGCGAGGCGGCAGATCCCGCAGAGTGCACACAGCTCTGGACAGGGTCAACAGAGGGCGCTGTGGGCCCAAGACATCCGGCCTGGGAGAGGACTGAGGCTCCACCTCCTTCCGGTCCCTAAGGGTTCCTCCATTCCCATAGGCCAGAGGTGGGGACTGGGGGCGGGGCCAGGGGAATCCCCGACTCCCCCAAGCAGCAAACGCGCGCTTCACGATGGTAGGCGGTATCCTTATAGGCGGCGGAAGTCGGGGGCTAGATCGAGACTCCGCCCCTTCCCAGGCTAGCCCTCTCCCCCAACCTCATTAGTACGCATGCTCCTTGGAGCCTCAGGGCGTCTTGCGCGCGCTCTCGCCAGCACGCTTGTCTGGTTCCGCCCCCGCGCCCGGCGCCGGCACTCCCACGCACGCCCGGCGCGCTGACGTCGTAGGCGACGTAAACGCGCAAGTCCTGCTCCAACTCCGCAGCGCGGACCCGCGATCGAGGTCCCGGGAGTTCAGCCTCAGGTGTGACTTAAAAGTTTTCTCGAAGTTTCAGTGAGACAGCCAAGGAATCGGTGACACAGATTTTCATAATACGTTTAATTTTCACCCAAAGTGTCCGGAACACCGTCACCTTAGCATATGATGGATGCCAGGCATTTAGGCTCCTTCCTTGTTCCTGCTAAGCCCCAAGCCCGAGCGGGTCCCGCACTCGCAGCGTGGCGCGGGTCGCCGGTGCCGGGGTCAGCAGCCGCTGTGACCCGCCTGCGAGGGACAGGTGGGAAGCTGAGGGGCTCCTCGGTGCGCCAAGAAGTTTAGTGACTTAAACCGTAGCAAGCCTAGGAAGCGCGAAACCCTGAGTTCAAACCCCAGTACTGCCAAAAAAAACCAGTTTGGAGTTTGCGTTTATGAAGGGGAGATGGGCAGGGAGTGATAAGATCAATGCAACATTTTTGTATTTTACTTTTTTATTATGTTACTGTACTAGGGGTACATTGTGGCATTTACAAAAGTGCTTACAATGTATCTTAGTTAAATTCACTCCCTCCGTCATTCTCCTTTATCTCCCCCTCTCCCGCTTCTTAGAACAGTTTCAACAGGTCTCATTGTTCCATTTTCATACATGAATACGTAGTAGTTCCACCATATTTACCCTCCTTCACCCTCCTTTCCTTATGTCCTTTCCCCTCTCACTGATACCAACTCCCAGATGGGACCTGTTTGCCTTCGTGTTCTTCATTTTAAAAAGCTATTTTATTTAAGATAGCTACACAGGGAGTTTCATTATGACCTTTTCATATATATACATATATATATGTAGTATGTATATATATACATATATGTATATATATACACTTAAATACCGAATTAGCTCATCCCCTCCATTTTTCTTTTCAGAACATTTTTTAAAGCTCCCTTTTTTTTTTTTTATTCATATTTAAGCAATTTAAGCATCTAGCTTCAGGAATTTTCACAAGCGCACACACCCATGTAGCCAGCTCCCCACCAAGCCTCTTCATGCTTTCTTCCTGTCACTATCCCTCAAGTGGTTTTTCTTTTCAGTTGTTCACATTTAAAAGTAACAGGGAGATTCTGTGTACCTTTCACCCAGCTTCTCCAAATGCTAACATCCTGCATAACTGCAGTGCAGTTAGAAGCCAGGTAAATGACACTGGTGTCATCCACCGGGCTTGTTCACATTTTACACTAAGTTACCTGTGTTCGTATGTAGTTCTGTACCTGTGACATGTGAGTTCCAGTTGGTTCTATTGTCAGATGGTAATGACAATTTTAGGCTTTCTTATGGTGGTTCTCATTTCTGTCACCATGGATAAATTTTTGCCAATTTTAAAACTTCACATAAACCATACAGCATGTATTTTCTTTGTGTCTTCTTTTGCTCAACATAATATCTCTAATACATTATCACCAGTTTTTTCATTTTTATTGCTGAGTACTATTCAGTTGGATGGCTATTCCACAATTTATCCTTTTACCTACTGGTGGACATTTAGGTTGTTTCTAACTTATGGCTATCGTGACTCTATTTTAGTAGATATTATCCCTCAAATACTTTGTTTCAGTTTTCCCTCCTCACAAGATGTCAACTAGTAAGTGGCAAGTCAGGAGATTTGCCCTAAGTGTATGTCATTTGCTATCTTTTTAGTGGTGGCTTCTTTGGAAGGGGATTTGTGTGTTCTTGGTTCCTGATGGCCTCCTAGGCCTTTTTTAGGGTCACTAAAGCTTCTTGGAAAATGTATTGTCTCTGCTCTAAGAATGTTGTCACGGGTCATTACATTACCTGTCATCTTTATGATTCTCAGAAGAAATTCTTGTCGAGTCTCAGTAGCAGAAATAATTTCACTTCTTCCAAGCATTTGGTTTGTTCTTATTTTAAGAACTCTGAATTGGGCAAGTGGTCAAGTTACACACATGTGAGGTACTTAAATATGAACTATCATTTTTTCCTTCCCTTTTCTCTTCTGCTACTTCCAATTCTTTTTTGCTTTCTTACTATATTTTATGAGTTCCTGGGAGTCATCTTTATATTTTTCTGCTGTAGTGTGTGTTATAATAAATATATTCTCCTGGGTCATGATTTGGTTGGCATCGTTGGCTATGCAGCAGAGCAATGTCTCAGCTCTGTTAGATGCTTAAAGAACTGTCTAATGGAAAAGGGAGACCCTTCCTCTGACCTTGGCCTCCTTAGTGATGACTGCTGGCCCCAGACCAGTGTGTAGAGCTCATACAAATCCTCAAGCAGCCTCCCAGAGCTGGCTGGCCGTGCTGTCCTTAGCCTTAGATGTTATTGGCCCTGGCTCCACCCTGTCCCCACCCAAACTCATCCTCCTGTCCCGCCTGTATCCAGCTACTTCTCTGTACTTTTCTCAGTGCTGGTGGTGGCTGTGTGGCACTTATCTTTTTCACTCCCTCTCGTGCTCTACTTGCCCTCCTTGCCCTAAAAGTCTTCAGTGGAAGTGGGGCTTATACCCCCTCTGCCTTATCTCCTCTCTTCTCTTGCCTTGCTGAATTGCAAGTTTCTTCTGTTGATTGACAAGAACGTGTGCTGACCAACATGAGCAGATAGGACTGGGGGCTGTGGGCAGGACTGGCCCTAAAGCAGGCAGCTGTACAAAGGAATGAGATCCTCAAACTGGCTCTCCCCCCTTACCACACTCCTGTATTGAAAAAGGAGCTAGGAGTGACAGCTGCAAAGCTTCCTAAATTAGGGGGCCCAAGTCAAAGGTTCCTCTAGGGTGTGGCCTGTCTTGGTGGACATTCTCAAGATTAAATTAAGTAGGCAACAAGCAAGCGATTGGAGGAGGTATATGTGCTCCTTGGACATCAGAGACTAGCCTGACTCCTGTTACCTCCTGCTCTGTCAGAGCTTAAAACAGGGCTTTGGAAATTCTGAATGTTGTGAGAAATGACAAAAATGTGTTCTTGTAGGAGAAGGAAATGCCAGTGAAGGTAGATGGGTCCTGAGGGTTAGTTGCAGGTGGCCTGCTTGCCATCAGGGAACAGGCAGTGTACCTTTTTGGGGGATGTTAAGATGGCAGGTAGAAGAGATGCAGCACTCTGGCTGGTTCTAGGCCTTCACTGAATTCAACAGCAGAACTGTTGCTCTGTTGCTTGCTGGGGATATTCAAACAAGTTGATGAGTATCCATCAGTGTTCTGGAAGGGATTTTGCATTGAGTGGGAATTGGAGTCCTTCTAATTAGATGACCTGTAATTTCTAACTAAATCGGGCAGTCCTTTCAGTGAGGGTCAGTTGTTGCTCCTGGTCAGTATAGAATGTGCAGCAGATCCAAATGAATGCTGCTTGAGTTGTCAGGATTGGACCTCATTTTCTCAGACCCTTCAGGGATATTTGAGGTATGGATTGATCTGGCAAGTCAGCTGCTAAAGAGAGCAAACTGCAGGAACTGTGTATCTAGAGCTGTAACATTCTAGCACCCAAGTAAAGGGGTCTGTAGCTTTTCACATTGCTCCCCCCATTCCCACCGTCTCCTGCTCTTCACACTTTGTGCTGGTTCAGTAACTTACATGCTTACATACCTGCGTGCTTAACCAGTACGTGGGTTAGAATTCAGTGAAAAGAGCCCGGCACAGTGATGCGCATCTGTGATCTCAGCACTCAGGAGGCTGAGGCAGGAGGATTGGGAGTTTGAGGCCATCTTGTGTTGCATAGTGAGTTTGAGGCCAGCATGGGCGCCATAATGAGACCCTGTCACAAGCAAACAAGCAAGGAACACTGGCATCCATGTGTGTCTTAGCAGTTCCGTGAGGTT